CTGCGCTTTCGATATATACTGACGGAGTACTAGTGAGAGGTGAGAATGAAAAGGCAGGTCAGTTAGCCCATCGTGACGAATTTAACGGTAAATTAGTCACGATAGTTTCCAGGGGGAACTGCGTAGTGGTCGACCTGATAGGATATATTAATAGCAATGGGGACTAACCTCCCCATTACTAACAATCCCCTTCCTCCCAAAATAGTAGGTTATATACATAGGTTTAGGAAAATGGCGACTCAGAACCGTCTCGATTATCTATGGCAAATATTATCAAAATTGGTTTTGATTTGAATCTTGCAAATATTATAAGTATAAAAATTAGTAAAGCTATTTATATGTTTGTATGTTTGTTAGTCACGCTGAAAAGAGTGAACCGATTTGAAAAGAAATTGGTACATGGATATAATTTACCAGTACCAACTTAACATATAAAATACTGTATAACTGACACAATATAAAACAATAATCAATACGTATTGCTATTTGAGATCGCTTAAATTTTATTAAATTATTAAATTTAGTCTATAAACAAAGACCTTGCTGTCACTTTCGAAATATGAACAAAAAAACATAAGAAATCACTTTCTGTAGTTTAAAAGGAAACTAGCAAGAAAGTGTATGATGAAGAGAAAGAGTCGTCGATGCGCAAGCGCCATAATTAAGACTAGATGCGCTAAATATAGTAACGCAGCTAATGTAAAAGCGTCAGGTGCACTTATAGTGATGTGACAATTAAAATTGTAGGCGCATTTCAAAATAACTAGTTATAGGTAAATAAATAGGTAAATACCACTAGATATAAATATTACACAGCGTCACCTAGTCCCAAACTAAGACAACAGTATGTCTATCATGACACTTACATGCCTACTTAAATACTTTTTTTTAAATACCTATATACATACTATAATATATAAAATATAGAGCCAATAAAAACAGAAATATTTATGAATACAAATGTTTTTATTGTGCAGAGGTCAAACCTACGACCATCGATATGTAAGGCAACCATCATGTGATCGTATAAATATTATTTATTATTAAATAAAGTTACCTACCTACATGCAAATAGTTTACAATAAGGTGCCTATAAATACCTATTATATAGATATACAACCTTTCTTTCCCGTGGGTCCCGTAAAAGACAACTAAGCTAAGCTCAATGGTCGAGGAATTGGTAGCAGCGTCCCTCTGAAAACATCACTAAAGCCAACAAAAATATTCAGCACAAAACACAGAATAAAGAAGTAGTCAAAATTATCGACAGAGTACTTAAACAAAAATAATAAAAAAAAAACAATATTTGCTACAAGTCAAACTTCTAAAAAATAGCAAGTGCAATCCATTGTAGTACAACTAGCGACATCTGACGTACAATGGCAATAACATACTGCATACGCTTTATGGTGCCCTCTAACGTCTAATAGGAAAGTTAACAATCAAGTAGAAATTCTTTCTTTATAAAATTTCTTCATTGTTGATTGTATGGACATAAAAAATAGTTATCCACAAAGAAACTAATTTTATAAATCAAACTATCTGTACTGGATTTAACAGGCCACAGGCCAATTATAATTGTAACAGACAATATTAATTGCACAAAATTAATATACAATAAAAGTAAAAGAAAATTGTCTCCGTAAATTATAATTTGTTCTAAATACCTATTCTCGATTTGATTAAACATTTAATACATAGCAAAACATATTATTTCCTGGGAAAACTGGAAACAAAGTAAAATAATAGAGCTACTAATTCGTTTTATAAATTTTTACTGTTTTCATAAACCTTTTTTATAATAATTTATAATTTGAATATGTTTTAATAGGTTGCATATAAAAATTTCTATATATTTTATTACTATAATAAGTGATTACTTATTTCGGTATCACTTTTACGAGCTGCGGTGTCCGAGTGGTTAAGGAGATGGACTTGAAATCCATTGGGTTCTACCCGCACAGGTTCGAATCCTGTCCGCAGCGATTTCTTTTTGTAAAATATTTCACCATATTAAAATATTTTTTGTATATTATAAAATGGCAAATGTACAATACAAATGAAAAATTGAGTAAAAAAATTTCTTAGAAAAAAAATTTATTCATATTAAAATTTCCCAAAGAGCGTTGACGTCAGGCAGACGACTGGTCGTAAAATTAAAAGCCAAATGTTTTTGTAATATGGATAAAACCATATTACGCCGACCCCAAATAATAATTGGAATAAGGATAGGAAAATGATGATGATTCATATTAAAATTATAATTACTATTTATTTGCTCTTCTATTGCAGTTGTTTTATTTAATGTTTTTGTATAGTAATATTTTATGTATTTATTTATGTATGTATTTATTGTATGTATATATTTATTTATTTAATATATGTATGTTTATATTATATTAATTTATCAAATATTGCTTTATTTTTTTCTCTATTCAAAAATGCATCGCCTACGTATTTCTCGATTTGCCCAATAAATGACTGATAGAGAACACCGTCCGGTGTTAAGTCCGCCAAATGTACATAAAATTTTACTGTGCATTAAAGTTTAAATAAATAAAGAAATAATACTTTGAAAAAATTATACATATTACCTATTTAAAAAGTATATCTATGTATTAATAAATATATACGTTAAAAAAAATGTGATGGTTACTACAGGATAACCAAAAATTCCTTCGAACCGGAGTTGAACCAGTGACCTATGGATAACTCGATTTTATAGCCTACAGTCCACCGCTCTACCAACTGAGCTATCGAAGGGATGTGAGCGATTCCGAAATTTTGTATAACATGATATACAATAGACGTTATAATATTTTAATACTTTTGAAATTATTTAATATCTAATTAAACCTTTAAATTTTACATTTAATATCTTTAAATTTCCATTTTATTAAAAATCAATATAATTCTGTTTATTTTATTCTTCTAATAACGAAGTAGTAATGATATATCACCACTACTATTCATCCCTAGGATAAGTCATAAAAGTGAAGAAATGCACGAAACTCAATAGATGCGTGCGCGTACCTACCTACACCACTACAAAAAAACTATATATATATATATATATATATATATATATATATATATATATATATATATATATATATATATCTTTTCATATAAAAAAAGAATTTAAGAGGTAACAAATAACTAATTGAAATATAATAATAATAATAAAATACGGTAGGTCTATATTTACTCATTCTAAAGTCTATATCAATATTGATTATAACATATACATTGTAATCAGTTTCTAATATGAAGATTAAGAATTTTTTATTAAACGCTTTAGAATCTACTTCCAGCTGCAGTATTTCCAAACCGATACGACATCACAACCTTCAAGAAAAGAGCATATTCCTTTTTAAAAGGGCGGCTGCACACATGCAATACATCTGATGTTGTGGGTGCTCAAAGGCAGCGGTAGTGACTTAGCATCAGGCGAGCTGTATACCTTTTTGCCTCCTGTGTTATATAAAAAAAAATTAGGGCAAGCCAGTTTAAAACAGAAGATGCCAATTTGAAATACCGATAGTAAAAAATCAATTACATTTACTTTTTCTTCTTTGATTTACCTATGAAACTAATATTTAGTCTTCATTTGCCTCATGTATGAATTGTATGTATACACAGCCAATGAAAATCCTATATTTCCACTCGGTTTGCAATTTTCATGTTATCGCCTACTAAATAAATGTAAGCAACGAATGCCTCTAACCATAATTTGCAATTCAATCTGTACAGGGATGGATGTGTGTGGACCCATTAACTTAGCATATTAGGTAGATAAACCATTTGTTTGCTACGAAACACAATTTCATAAATAAAAAGAAAGCCATACATAGCTGAAGTCGGTTCAAAAATAGGAACTGTAATTGTGATAAAATGACATTACAAAATACTCTATTGATTGCAAGAAATATTATTAAAATCGAATCAGGAATTAATTATATTATAAATAGCACGTAACCTACACCCCAAAAATATTACCTTTCTATAATGTACTGATATATAAGAATGGAGTTACACAGCAAATATAAAATTCGTCACACGAAATTATTCACATCCGCTATTATCTGCCTATTTTGGTAGATCTATTTCTAGGGCCCTGATTCTGCGCAGCAACAAGAGTTGGAGTGGTTCAAGAGCGCTGACCGCATATGCAAACAATACAACCAAAATATCTGAAATGCAAGACCTAAGATAGTATAGGATTGGCGATTTTATAGATAAACAATTCTAATTTAATAAAAATTATTAAAGAATCGAAGTTTAAGAGAAAAGAAGAACAAGTATCTAAATATAAAGACACGCACATCCCACGAGATAAAAATGAGTACTGCCAATTGTCTTCTAGCTGTTCTTTTTTTTTTTTGTGGAAACACATTCCGGAAGACAAGTGGCCCAACAATGAACTCAGCTAAATAAAAGATAGCATTTAGAATGCAAATCAGTCTACATTTGCATAAAGTGTGAATATTATGAATTATGATATTTACTTAGGTTATTTAATACGTAACTAATTTTAAATAGATTATTAAGTAATACGTATGTAAAATCGTCTCTTTCTTACTGAAAGTTTTCACTTAACCTATAACTGTCATCTGTTTAAAAATGTATTATTCTTATCACCATCTCATTTTGTTCTGTTGGACCACTCACATAACCCGATTATTCCTTGCCAAACTATTTCCACATGAGCAAGCCTCCATTTCAACAGATTGACGTCATCAGAAGAGTACAGCCGCTGGAGCCTTCGGTATTGTCAAACATATATTTAATTACCATCGTGTGCAGTGCGGCACACGCAACCTACCCCCTAAAATGATCTAGGGAGTCTATTGTGTTTAAAAGAATTTGAACTTTCACCCTCTAAATTCAAGACAGATTATACACTGAAGCACGTAGATTAGTTAAGTCGTTCCTGAATGCAAGCTTCAGGGCGAGTTTCGGCCAATCCTGCTTTTAAGTACGCCTGCGCAAAAAACGCTTAGCAAGCATTCAGTCAAAGAAAGGCGGCGCGCCGGCTTGCGCGCTCGCCCGCCGTCCGGCCCCGAGCCCTATGCCGTCGCGGTTCACCCTCATCATCAATAAAACGATCACCGCAAAACCGCGAATCCATTGTGTGTCGTATTAAAAAGTCAATTGAGTCCAGTTACCTTCGTCGTGTGTGAAATGTAGCTGCCGTAGTGTCTTCCTTAAGTTATACATCGCGGTTGACATTAAAGAGTGCAGTTGTTTTGATGAGGTGAGTCAGGTCACAGTCAGCAGAAGGTCGAAGATTGCCCTTGGATAATGTCACGTCGGACAGAGCACACACGGATTTGAAAATGTTCGCGTGACAATAAGTACAGCACGCTAGAATCATTCAGAAAATTGCTGCCTCATGTTCACAAATCATTACTCGGAACAATTACCATTTAAATTAATAGTTTTTTTTTTTGGAACGGTATAAGTGGTTAACGTAAAAAAGTGAATATTACTAAAATCGTCATCAGATCATTATCAAAATGTTGTTTAGGATTTCATAGTATAAAGTGAATATGTCCATTCGGTAAATTAATCAAGATCATTTCGACTGATAATTACAAATTGTGTATTTGTTTAACTTTCGTCCTTTTTTTACTTAATAAAAATAAATACTGTATAAAGGTCGCTTGCATGGTCACCTCTGTCCACTCATATTTCTGCCACCAATCATTTGCCAATATACTCGCATGGTTCTGTTTTTTAATGAATAACAATCACTAGCTGCATTACTGTACACTGGCAGAGTATCAGTTAAAGATAATACGAATAGATAAGAATGAAAGCTGGTCAGTTGACTCATTGTGATAATTTCAACAAGAATTAAATCCGGAGAAACCTTATGGGGATTGGCTTTAAAGGGTATATGGAAGCGCTGGTCATCGTTATGATTTAGTATAAAGGGATTAAAGAAAGTAAAATTACAGGGTACAGAGGTATACTTACATAATACTTTGGTTCCAAATGTATATACTGTTAGAAATACAGCAGCAAATAAAAACAGCAGCGCATAAAATGTACATACAATGATGGTCACAGTATATTGTTTTATTCCGAAATCTTTGATCGTTATATTCATGGTAGCGTTTGTGTTTGTATATTATTGACAATAAATGCCTGGCAACAGAAAACAAAGTTATTGGGACTCACTTTCAAAATAATGTTCATTAAAAGTTTTTAAAAATTTATAACAATTGGGAATCATTAAAGAAATAAATTAAAAGTAACACTGACTGTAGTACTCTCACTTTAGCTTCACCATAAATATTCTTATAATAACAAGGCTTGGTAGACCGACATGCTACCTATTTGGTCAAATAATGTCGTAGTATTAAATATTTATTTATTTATTTCCTAAATAAACAGAGTGGGAGGAAAGGGATTGTTAGTAATGGAGACTGAGAATCCCATTGCTAGCAATATACCCAACCAGGTCGACCTCCTCGCGGTTCCCCCTGGAAACTATCATGGTTAATTCCTGATGAATTCATCATGATGGGCTTTTTTTTACAACACAGGGGCAAACGAGCATGCGGCTCACCTGATGGTAAGTGACTACCGCCGCCCATGGTCACCCACAACACCTACGGCATTGCAGGTGTGCTGCCGGCCTTTTAAAAAGGAATATGCTCTTTTCTTGAAGGTTATGTTGTCGTATCGGTCCGGAAATACTGCAGCTGGAAGTTGATTCCAAAGAATGGTTGTGCGTGGGAGAAAGTGCCTTGAAAAACGCACGGTGGAGGACCGCCACTCGTCCAGATGGTTGGGATGAAATTTTAGTTTATGGCGGGTTGTACGATGGTGAAAATCTGCAGCAGGTATCAATCCGAACAATTCTTCAGAGCACTCCCCATGATAAATTCGGTAGAAGATGCACAGAGATGCAACATCTCTACGCAGTTTCAGTGGGTCGAGCCGGACAGTAAGACGCCGATCGTCAACAATTCGAGCTGTCCGACTTTGAATGCGGTCTAACGGAAGGAGTTGGTACTGTGGCGCTCCTGCCCACAGGTGAGAACAGTATTCTAACTGCTAACTGGCCTGTTGTCATTCTCGTCTATCACCCTTCACTGGTGCTCCGCCAGCGTATCCCGTTAACGCAGGCGAGGTTACCATACCATTTTCACCCATAAAAAAAAAAACAGAGTTGAACTTAGTCAAGTTTTTAGCCAGTCCAGTTTCAATTCTTTTCGGCTGAAACTACTCGCTGAATTCCCGTGACAAAAAATTACCCAAATGAATAAATTATTTTGACCTTGTTTCTAAACCAAGGTTTACAGCGATAATTTGGTTATTTTTACATGACATGGAGTAATTGTCAGGCGGATGTGTATTTGATTCAAGCACATCTGATTAAAATAGCAATTATAGGGCGCTATAATTATAAATAATACCTTAGAAACCATGATGTACACTGTAACACTCATGACACCGTTTATGTATCACCAATTCATAAGCATACGGCCCAACTGATGGTAAGCGGTTACCGTAGCCTATGAACGCCTGCAATACCAGGGGTATTACGCGCGCGTTGCCAATCCTGAAGAAACCTCTTTACCTTCCTTTTGAAGAACCCGATACTGTAGTCTCTTGAAAAAACCTCAGCAGGGAGCTGTTCGTAGGAGAAAACATTTTTGAAACCGCCTTGTACGCGACCATTTAGACTGTAGGATATGAGGATGAACTCTCCGTCGATGGCGAGCCGAACAATGGTTGGACTACCTTAGTTTCAGGAATGGCAATGAATAAACAGTTTGTATTTTCTTTTTGTATGAATGAAGATAGAATTGTGCACCTACCTATGCTACGATGATATGTAATAGCGGGGTACCAGTAAAGGATAAATAATGAAGGCAGGTCAATTAACCCGTTCGTGGTAAATTTACTGCATATTAACCATGATGTTTTCCAGGGGACCGTGTCGAGGTCCACCTGATAGATTATATTGCTAGCAATGGAGCATCTTACCATTGTTATCTAATAATTTTAATGCTATATTCCACCTTTCAAACTGAAACCATAAGCATAAGAACTTATACTTTCGTGGCAAATGGCTATGTGCAGTTTTCTTCTAGTTTAAAAATATTGTACAAAACTAGTGTCCTATTAAAGTATCAATATCTACGAGCCTTACCTTGAAAGCATATTCGTAAAAATGTATATACATATCGTTCGAGTTATAAAATTTATTCATCCTTTTACTTGAATAATGTTCTTTCTCCCCTATGAAATTCATAGATTTATTCTAGCAATCGGTTGAATAAATTTTATATCTCGAACGTGAGAGGGAGACTTTGTACAAAAGTCGATTGCTTGGGTACCTCTGTCCCTTTCGTGTTTCTACCGTGAAGCAGTTGTGTTTGCATGGCTGTGTTTCGGTTTGAAGGGTGGGATATGGCGTGAATTTACAGGGTACAGAGAAATAACATCTGAGTCCTCAGGAATGGCGACGCATGGGGGATATCATGGGCGAAACAGTATACTCTGTTATGTCCATGGTACTGCTCATGTCTATAGGCGACGGTTACCACTTTCCATCAGGTGGGCCGTCAGCTTGTTTGCCATTCTAAGTTGTATAAAAAAAAGTAATACACATAATTTTTCAAGAATCCTCATTTAAGATAAAATTTACAACTTCCAAAAACAGTAGTCGCTTATTAAAAAATTACGCTATGGTGAGCAATGATAATATTAAACTACGTCACTCTTATTTTTGAGTTCCGTTTTCCTTTGACCTAATTTTGTTAACGAAAGAACATTTAAAGTAGGCTCGAGTGTTTGATTATATTTGTCAAGATATAAGAGTTCCATCCAACTTAGGAAACCATACAAATTGTGTCTTTATTTAGCATATTAAAAATTGTAAGAAACTACAGTCTACCTTGTTTCTATTGCTGTATTTTGGTATTTATTATTAGAAAGTTTTCTTTATTCTACCTATATTCTGCACGATTATAAGACAGTTTGGTATTGTTTTTCTACTTTGCTAGATTTTGCGCATTAAAGTAACGGGTGCAAACAATGATTATCACTCGTATCAGATAGATATCATGGACAACATCTAATCAGCCATTATAAACAATATAAATTAAGGAGCCATTAAAATTGGTTCAGCCGTTTTTAACACAACAACGTCGAAAACACAACTTTGACTGCGTGGATACCGTTTATTATAGTAATTCATCTGGGTCGTTATTACTTCACTGGCAGCTGCCCATTTTATTCGCGTGACGGTGATTTTCATATACGGCCAGCCAGTAAATCTAACCATCGTATTTACAATGTGAGTTTCCCTTAATGACGACAGTTTTAAATGTCAAATATCGCAATGTAACGCTTGACATTTTGTGGTCCCACACAAAACCGTATTAAAAGGGTGGAGTTTGAGAAATAATATTTTATGATGGAATACTTCCATAATTGAATTTTCAATGTGCTCTTATCAAGTTATGAGATGCATATAGCGTACGTATTAGCTGATTGATGATCGTGAATTATGACTTGCCCTGATATATACACTGTTCAATTATTTTCATCGTCACGCGATTTTTCATCTAAGGAATAAAATTTATCTGCACAAGTGGCCCCACTACTTAGTCCTATTGTTATTATTTTTGCTGAAAAAAGCCTTCTCTATACGGGGAGTTTTAACAGTATTTGCCACGCTTGGCAGGCGGGTTGGCAACCTCAGTTTGGCTTTTAGAGATATTTTAGGAGGGACGCTGCTGTGCCTCTACCATTAAGTTCCTCTAGTCGCCTCTTACGACACTCACAGGAAAAGAAAGTGTGGCCTATTCTATGTTTCTGGCCACACGACCAATCCTTAATTTTATAAGCAAAAGTTGATAAAACGGATTTGACAATCCCATTTATACTTCATACCGCTTAAAATCAAGATGTGTCAATGATGGTAAGTTTTCAATCGATTTCCAAAACGAGAAAAAGTTGATTCTCAAATCTACTATAAATTTTTGTATATTTAAAATTTGGCGGCACTTTTGCATGACCATTTCTATTTGCAATCTATAAAATTCGCTTCTGTGACAGTTCCATACTCGTTCCCTCAAAAAATCTTCCTGGCTGGAAACGTCTAAAATTGTCAACGTTAAGTTTGTTGTAATAGAGTGGACATTATCGTATATCTACACATGTACATTTAATACTCTTGCTCTCATTTTGTTACTAATCGGCTTATTCCGTTTCACCTCACTTTAAAAGGTC